TATGTATAGCTTACAACTGTGGTCATTCTGTTACTTTATATATAAATACTAATGTCATTAATATAAACATTAATATAATTACTATTTTATATATGAAATTATTCATTGCATAAAATTACATTACGAAATGACTTGTACATTACTGCTTTACTTGCAGCAATCCCAAATGTGTTTACAAAAGAGGCCGAGCAAACAAATACAATGATCACTACATTATTCGAGTAGCCTACTGCCTTTTTAAACAAAATAGTTAACTCCGAAATTGTCCAAAATTATGGTGAAAATATATTGACAAGGCAGTTATCAAATTTTGAAATGTGCAACTCTCAAACAAGGGAATAATTAAAAGCCAGTCAAACATCACTGATTATCGGGAAACTATGAGAAATGCAACAGCAAGTGACAGAAAATTAATTTCTTTCTGGATGTACGTACCTGTAAGTAAATAATATCAAGTCAGTGCTGATGAACGCTTGATCAACTGACGTCCATTGCTGGAGGCAGTCAACAGACAATCCGCATGTCAAACGCCATCAACTTTTAGCATGAGCACTTTGATGGATGAGAGTGGCCACACCCCCTCATGCGCGCGCGCTCCGGAGCCGCATCTTCCTCTCACCTGAGCTATTTAGAATACATCTCTTCTTGTTCATCAGAAAGAACATTCTGCATAATTAAAGAAGAAAGGAAACTACTGGGCTACACACATTGGGTCATTATGTTAAATTAGTTTTTAGTAAAACAGCACGCTGGGTTAAAACAGGTCACGCGACTTCAGTTTGAATTGCAATGGTCGTAACTGACAGAAGCCGCAGCGTTACTGTCAGTCAAAGGTAAGTCATGTCTTTTTGCAGTGTATAAAACGGTATGTATCGTTAAAAATTTAGTTATATTGCCCTCTATCGGCTTCTATAAGATACAAACAGGTGTAACATATACAAAGTCCGAATTTATTTAAATCCAGTCAAATTCTACGGGTGTCTTTATACTGTATAACCAGCAGGCCTAACGGTTATATAGTAAAAGTTATTCCTGCTCAGAAACAGATTTAAATGTTTTTGGTAGAAATAGTTTTGCACTTGAGGGACAAGGTTGGTTATCCATTCAGTAACAATTATATTCAATAGAAATCGTGTGAAGGTTAGCAGTGTGTTGTATTAGCTTTTATATATTATCCAGTGATTTAAAGATTTAATTAGATCACTGCAGCACTGACCCTCAAAATTTAGAGACATCCTTAGTACCATATTCAACATTTCCCTCTAGTGGCCAGCATTAATTTTACATGGCCTGACTTCCTCAGTTTCTCTGTTGGAAGTATTTGCTCAATTTAAAGGAACACTCCACTATTTTTGAAAATAGGCTCATTTTCCAACTTCCCTAGAGTTAAACAGTTGAGTTTTACCGTTTTCTAATCCATTCAGTCGATCTCCGGGTCTGGCGGTAGCACTTTTAGCTGTAGCTTAGCATAGATCATTGAATCTGATTAGACCATTAGCATCTTGCTCAAAAATGACCAAAGAGTTTCTATATTTTTCCTAATTATATTACGCAGCGCCTGAAAATAGTCCCCAGCTAGGTTACTTCCAATAAGCCTATTTTCAGGCACTGCGTAATATCATTGCACCTGCTGCACTCATGGTACGGCAGCAAAGTTCCTTGATTATTACGCCGGAATGAGAGTATAGTTCCTAGCCATATTGGCCTAGAAAATCGCAACTTTTCATTTTCCGTTGGTCTTAGTACACGATGTAACTACAGAAGAGTCAAGTTTTAAATAGGAAAAATATAGAACCTCTTTGGTCATTTTTGAGCGAGATGCTAATAGGGTTGGTTATCGTTTGGTTTTTTTCGATACCGGTGCCAAATCGATACTTTAAAAACGGTTCCGGTGCCTAAACGGTGCCTGAACCAATACTTATTAAAAAATAAATAAATAAAAAATTCCCCCAAAAATGGATTGGCCATTAGAATAGAAATAGAATAGAGAGTGCAAATGTTAGAGGGTCAAGTTTTTTAATTAAAAAAAACAAGCAGATAAAATTAGAAGTAGCATTAGAATAGAGAGTGCTAGAGTTAGAGGGTCAAATGAAGATGAAAGAGATGTGTTTTCAGCCGTTTCTTGAAAATATTAAGGACTCAGCTGCTTGGATTGAGCTGGGCAGGTCATTCCACCAGGAGGGAACAGTTAATGTAGAAGTCCATGAAAGTTTTATCATAGGTAGAATGCAAAATGTTTCAATACAAGCATTTCAGTCAAATGTAATTTATGCAATATTTCAAACCTTTAACCCACATGGGAAAATCAGCCTATGGCAACAGTTTAAAAGTAGCCCAATAAAGTAGCATATGGAACTTATTTTCTGCCTCATTCTGTGACAAGAAACCTCATCAGATCACAAAGGAAGCATTTGACTGGTGTTAGAAATGTAACTACAAGGGAGGTTTAGCTTTAGGCATTTTAATTTAAGCATGTTTAGCTTAGTTAACGGAAGGCTACCTGCTGCCATCAGAGCAAGAGTAATTACTGCATTCACGCGCTCCTCGGATGCTCTCATTTCCCGAGTTGTGCTATTAAGTCGGAATGTGAAAACATGGACTCTCGCTACTACAAAGATGTGTTGGATTTGTATTATTAGAGCTTTCCGATTTGAGTTCACGTGCATTTTCTCAGTCTGGAAATTATTATTTTTCACGTGCGGTGCCAGTGATGATGCTTCTTACGTCCGTTTCGGAGAACCAGAGGACAAATATTTCAATCGATCGCTCAGGCATGGCACCGAAATGAGGCACCAAAATCTGCGTTCGGATTCGGTTCTAGTACATACCGGTTACATAGGTATCGGTGCCATATTGGTAACGGGTTTCGGTACCCAACCCTAGATGCTAACGGTCTAATCAGATTCAATGATCTATGCTAAGCTACAGCTAAAAGTGCTACCGCCAAACCCGGAGATCGGCTAACTGGATTAGAAAATGGTAAAACTCAACTGTTTAACTCTAGGGGAGTAGGAAAATGAGCCTATTTTCAAAAATAGTGGAGTGTTCCTTTAAAAGACAAGCAGGGTCAAGCAAAACAGCATATCAGCTAAGTACAAATGACACAAAGACCATTTTTGCAAACTTTTAAAATTTTATCTGGTGGGTTCTTGTACGTTTGTTGGTCAAAGGTTTGGTCAAAGCCAGGAGCAAAGTCTAACATCATGGGTTTCCAGTTTCAAAATCTGTCTTATCTTTACATATATACAATCATTCATACACTACAATACCACAAATCGGCATAAAATATTGATTGTACATAAATATGTTAATATTTATAACCCTTTCATTCTGCTATGCTCTAAAACTAAGCCTACTAATGGAGTAAGCATTTCAATGCCAAATATTTCTGTTAACAGAAATCAAAATGATAATAGCAAGAAAAATAATCCCAGAACAACAAAACACAAACACACACACACACACACACACACACACATATATATATATATATATATATATATCCATAAATAGTGTTCAGGAGGTCTAAACTTAAAATCCTATCCACCTTTTTCTTCAACGCGGAAGTAAGCCTATGGGTGAGACTTCCGGCTATTTAGCCGCTTTAGGTAAGTTATGAGGAGAATAACAACGTGCAGTAAACGGTAAAACTGTTTGCACTACAAACCAGTGTGTTCATAATTAAGATAATACATTAAAATAATATGATAAGACACACCAACTTTCAATATCAAGCAGCAAAACGAACTGTTTTGTTCAGCTAAAAATAGCTGGATGGAGTGCACGCAGATGAGACCGGAAGCCAGACCCATAGAATTTACAAATGGCCGCGCCCATTTTTACAACAAGAACAAGGTGGATTGGTCTGGTACAAATGTCCATCACTTCATGAATCAGTTCAGTCTCTGGGGCTCAAGATGAAACCCTTTTCTCCATCTCTCAAGATGAAAGAACACACACACTACCATCTCTACAGGCTGACAAATGTGCCAGGACATAAAAAAAACAAAATACTTGGTATAAAAAAAGAAAAGTAAAGAAAACAGACATTGTACGGTCTTCAATAGTTGACATTCAATCTAAATTTCAAGTATCCTTTAACATTCACAAGAACCCTTTCTGTTTTGTTTTTTCAAGAAACATTTTCCTGCAGTACTACCCATGTAGTGTTTTACTGACACATTGAAAAGGATTGAATCACAATGCATGGAAATGTACAACTAATGTCATCAGACCTGCCATGCAAAAACACACAAGGGACAGCCAATATAGGCATACATGAAAATACACTTTCTAGAAACATCTTCAGTATTGCTTCATCTCAAGCTTAGAAAGATTTAGAGCAATGTTCAAAAGTACTGAACATTAGATCATAGTCTTTATTTCAGTCTTACGTAATGAAATACAAAATAAAGGTAACACTTTACAATAAGGTGCATTTGTTAACATGTAGTTAATGAATTAACTAACATGAACGAACAATGAACACTATATTTACTACACTATTTATTAATCCTTGTTAATGTAATTTTATTGTAATGTTATTTGTAATTTGTTAATGTTAACTAATGAACCTTATTGTAGTGTTACCAAAATAAACTAGACTGACATAAACCATAATCTGACAGTCTGCACTTTAACCCCATTATCACTGTATCAAATATGTTAAGAGCAAAAGCAACATAACTTAAAGTGTGTTTTGAACTCACTGGAGGAAGAAAAAAACAAAAAAACCTTACTAATTGATATATATATATATATATATATATATATATATATATAAAGGCCATCAATGAACATTATGTAGATATTTTCAGTGAAAAATTATGAAGTGAAAACACAGTAAAACCCCATCTGATTATACCATCTCATCACAAATAAAAATAAATACAAAAAATATTTTGAAATGTTTATATTTTTAAATTGTTGTAACAAAATCTGTTAGATTTTGTAATGAAATCTAATATATATATATATGTTAGATTTTATACCGGTACTATATTTTTGTGAAAAATTGTGAGAGTTAGCCTAATGGAATAATACATTAGCACTACTATGACACAGAAAGAAAGAAAAAAGTTACTGTGATATTAATGGGATATTAACATAAATCTTTCATTAGGGAAAAATTGCTTTGTTTTTTTTTAAACCAAGGCAGATAAAGTCATTAAACACAGGGTGCATCAGAACCAATTGCAATTTGAATGCACAATGGAAGAATATTAGGGCTTTGCTTACGTTAACAGAACACAAGTCAGTACATAAACATTAGTGCAAATTTTGGTAGATAAAGAGGCAGATAATGGTGGGCCTCAATAACTGGTCTGTGTTAAAACAATCAAATACAACTCATACATACACTTCCTTGATTAACGTATGATTATTAACTTAAAAATGAACATCATAAACCTACAAACATTCTACAGCATTATGCACTGGTACATAATACTACAATAAACTATAATTGTCAAAATAAAACAAACATGCTTCATAAATTCAAAGCTGTAAAGAAACTGTGATTTTTAGATTAATCTTGCTGGGCTTTGTTAAACGTGCAGGAAACTATGCACCCACATCTGATGAAATATAACATATTTCAGTATTATTAATTTGAGGTTAAATGACCTTAATCAATACCAATATCAGATAAAACTATATCTGGATTTTATCAAAATAAAATTACTTTTTGTTAGAACTACCGACATTGAACGCTCTGTGATAGGAATAATCTGGACCCTCCATTAGCTACAAGACCAAATCTACAACACAGAAAAAAGATAGTAGTAGCAAAATAAAACGCGTTTCACAGAAAAACAAAAGGAAAATTTCCTCAAGATGTGGTCACTCACAGAGAGAGAGAGAGAGAGAGAAAGAGAGAGAGAGAGAGAGAGAGCATGCAAGTAAGACTGAGAATAAAAAACAGCTGTTCTGACTGCCATATCAGAAGGATTTTATAGGGATAAAGCTTAAACTGACATTTGATTGGAACCTTTGGGACCAGTTACATATTACAGGTGACTATTCAGACACTTGAAAACAGTCTCAGAGCAAGAACAGGATGAGGAGGAGGAGAAGAAGAATCAAGGAAGAGAAGTATAGGGAGAGTTAGTGTGAAGGAGGCTTTGTTGTAGCCCCCGTCTCTGCTAGCATCTCAGAACGCTGGTCTCTTGTGGTCCTTCTGTGTTGCTCTGTGTGGCTAAAGACATAACAGGAAACCAGGGGTAAACGGGCACTTTCACTGTTCCTCCAGCCAAGAAGGTTTGTCGGCCCCTGGTGGTTTGAGTTTAATGTTGAACTGCTTGAGGGTCTGTTCCAGCTGTTGCTGGTTTCCAGCAAAGTAGGCAGAGATGGCATTATGGAACAGCAGAAGTTGCTTGTGCATCACTTTGACCTGTAAGAGAGAGATACACAAACACAAACCATGTCAGATGACAAGATATAGACAATAAATTGATTAAGGGCTACTTGAGTGACTTAAAGAGGAAGTTATGCGGGTGGCTGAGCACCTTGTTTTCTTCCAGGAACTTGAGCTTGATGCTGACATCACTGCGGAGACGTTCATATTTTTCCTTGTGGATCTGGTACTGCTGCTGAGCAGCCTCGATACGAGCCATAGTAACAGCGTCCCGTGGGCCCATGTTCAACTCCTCCAGATCTGCCCTGTATGCATCGAACTCTAGCCTATAGGATATCAGAAAAACACCATAAATACACCATAAATTTTATACAATGCGATGGCCAAAGTTGAAAGTTATTTATGGTGAAATCTGACATTAAATGTAGCTAGTATTGCATCAGATAAAAGCATAAAGCATCAAAGGTTTCTCAGAGATCTCAGCATGTACCACACAAAATAAATAACTGTGATAGAGGATATGCTACTCCTTTTTCTCTTTTCAATCAAAAGACTGAGTAAGAGGACCAGCCAGTGTCAAAGCCTGTTGGTGCCTCACTCGGAGTTCATTCAATACCATCTCGTCTGCACAACTGTAACGTATAATGACAACTCTCAAACGTACAGTAGCATCACAGGCTAATTAAGCTAAAACACAATTAAAGTGCATATTGCAGAGAAGTGGAACACCTCAAGAACCTTGGAAAGAAACAACAAAAACAAATGAAGGCTATTATACTAAAGGCTACAGAGTTGGAGTAGCCTTTACCTGGCATTCTCATACATCTTGATAGTCATCAATGTGTCTTCAATTGTTTTGTTCACCAGAGTGTTGATGCTGGACACAAAGTAGTTGATGGCACCGAGCAGAGTCTCTCCATTCTTGCACAACAACTTCTGTGTTTCTGCATTGTATCCGAACTCATCCTGTGCATGAACAAAACCACAAACCTAAACTTTTAATTGAAAAATAAAGTTGAAATCAAATAAAATATAAATATTAGATGAAAAAATGAAAATTAGAACTGTTGCCTTGGCAGCTAACTGAAATAAAATAACTGAAGTACTAAAATTATTAAAACTAAAACTAAAATAAATTTCAACAGAAAAATAAAATTAAAATGAAAACTGAAAATATAAAAATAAAAGCCAATTCAAAATATTACTAAATACTATAATAGATAACACTCAGCTCTACTGATACTGACAGCTCTTCATGATAACAATCAGCTTTCATGTCTAAGTAGTTTTAGACAATCCGTCCAGCAATGTTAGAGACATTCTTGACTGAAGTGGTGTATAAATAGCAAAACACAAATGCTAAAGTAAACCCTAAAACAATTGTGGCATTTTAGTGTTAACTGTAAGCACAAGTTATTTTTTAACACTGACAGTTTGAACGATGAAATGAAATACATGAGTATGTTCACAGCAGTCCCATAATTATGCATGGCAGTCACAACAAATGTCATACATTTTTAGATGGTCATGCTGCCTCACCCGAAGTTCTGGAGACTTCTGACTGAGGTCAGCAAAAGTGTCTCCAAGGGCTTGCTGCGTCTGCACCATGCTGTAAAAGTGGTTGGTTAGCGCTCGCGCTAAATGCAGCACATTCTCGTACTTCCGTTTGGTTTCCCGCAGAACCTCAATCTGAGCCTCCAGCTCCAAATCCACAGTACGTGAGCCACGGCCAAACCTCTCGGAGATCATCTGTTTGGTGCACTAAGGGAGAGACGGATAACAAATACAAATGGCTTCAAAATAGAAGTGGTTAACAACACATGACATCTAATTAGAAAAGACAAACAGTTAATTGACAAACCTTGTACGTGTTCAGGCCCCATTTCTTCACGATGTCAAACTTTTCCACAGCAACGCCTCTTGTGGCATCTTCTGCTGTCATGGAGGAATTGCTACTGGCGTGATGCATGTTGGACCCTGATACACACAAAATGCTTAGTGTAAGTTTTGAATTACAACTGTCTGTACTTCCACATTATTTACACATCATTTGATGATATTGTTCGTATAATCGCATCATAGCTCTGAAGGTGTATCAGCTATATGTAAAACAGATGAGATGAGAGTGAATAAATGAATGTGTGTTACTGAGTAGGGGGAATGTGTTGCCAAAGAGCCCTTAAATGATCCGACGCTCTTTGGAATACCTGGGATACAGGGGATGTCTTCTGATTGGCGGGCTATTCGGCAGGCAGCAATCTGGCTTGGGGCAATGTTAACACCCCTAGACTTCATTCGCAGGTCTGGAGGTGGTCATGGCCAGGGTAAGCATAGGATGTTGGGGGTATATGATGGGGAACAGGAAGTAGGTGGTGGATATGTAAGAAGTTTTAAAATTATTTTTACAATGGAATGGGTTGTACCATATGAGTAAAGTGTATGGAAGTGTGTAATGCCAGTGCGTATGTGTGTGAATGTGAAGGAAGAGCAAGAGGATAGAGGGAGGGGAAAGGGGAAAAAGGGAAGGTGAGAAAGAGAAGGTGATAATGTAATGAGATGAAGTGAAAACAGGAAAGCATGTACAAACAGATGCATGACAAACAGATGGAGACCATTTACAGTTCACTTAACATCACACAACTGTTATTTAAAACCCCCAATATGTCTGATAATTTATTTTTAACTACAAGTATTCATTTACACAGAAAAAGATTGTGACTAGAAGTAACTTGTCTGAATAAATAAAAGGATTTACCAAACATATTTTACACCCAGACATTCTGCAGCAGATTTTTCTAAATATTTCCTCTGCAAAATCAGCAGGATTAAAGCCAGATTAAAATTTAAAACTGATCTCCGAAGCAAAATGACAAAAGGTTTCCCATTACAAAATTCCTGCTAGTGAAAAAAGCAACCTTAACCCTGCAAGAAAAAATAGAAAGAGAACTGTAGCCCAGTCCAGTCTGCTAAGAGAGAACTTAAAAGCCAGGCAATTCAATTTGTTCTTGTAGTACAGCATCCCATACCCTGGGAAAAGACAAAAACAGTTTCGAAAAGGACTATAATTCAAGGCACCATGGGAAGGTGGAAAACCAGAAAGAAGAGAGATGGGTTACAAATGAGGCATGAATGACCTTGCCCTTCATTTGGAATGCGTCTGTTGCCCAAAAAGTCAATGTTAAGACGGACCGCAGGGCCTGAGAAAGGGTAAAAGAGACAGAAAGTCCTCACTGAATCAGAAGTGAATATATTTAAGGGGCCAGGATGGCCACCTTACAATCACATATCCTGTCCAGACAAAAAGTCGTTTTGTTAGCCACATCAGTAACTAAATTAAAATAAAATCAAGCAGTTCATTTTGGCTGGGTTACTTTGAATTAGCCTCATTTTTTATTGCAGAGGAAATTTATTAAAAAACAAAGCTGAAGCTCATTTGTCTTTTCGGATCTGTGGCCTTTTCACTCTGGTTAATATCAAAATTTAAAGCCATTGAGCATAACTCACAGAATACCTATACAAATAATGACCAATGCCGCCAGAGGCCCTAGATCTCATTTGGATTGCACCATAGGAAAGAAATGAGTGGGAAAACCCATAGTGGAAATTATGCAAAACATATTGTACAATTTTTTGGCATCTCCACAAAAAAGTATGTATGCATTTGCTTTAGAAAGACAAAAGGTCATCAAAGTCATTCCAAACATGGTAAATATCACTAATAACAAAACAACTTTAGACTTGGGTCAAGTGAATCTTAAACTAGGTTAATTATACACAGATTTCTTTGCTTAGTTGATTTAATAAAAAAAAAAAATGTAGTTGTGTACATCGCAGTAGCACTTGGGGTTTAGATGAACATGTTAAGAATAATGAGGAGTTAAAGAATATTAGAGTGAGCTATACCTTTGATGGAGCTTGTCGGAATGATGCCTTCTGTTGTACCTCCATAACCACCTGATACGATACTGGTCTCATTTAGGTTGGGCCCAGACACCATGACCTGCTGAAAGTCCTACAGAAATTTAAAAAGAAAAAGAAAAAAAAAAACAAGAGAGGAAGAGATCTTAAGAATGTAATATTATAACCTAGGCATTCTTTTTCAGGAAATTAGCCAATTCTTTAAATTCTACAAACATACACTAGCAAAAGTCGTGAAATGTTAGAAAGAACATTTCAGGGTTAGAATCACACTAGACCCAGAATTATTATGAATCATGTGTCAATGAATCACGTACAAAAATTCATATTTAATTTCCTGTGAAAACAACCCCTCTGAAAAATCCATGTTTCCTTGATGAAGTAAAAGAATTTGACACAGCACAAAGAAACAGTCTGTTATCTGAAACAAGTCACATTAGTGACTATAAAAACTCTCAACAACCCACACCAGTGCGTTACATGTCATCTGAGAAAAACTAAGAAAAAAAGAGCTTTTTCACAAATAAACAACTTTGCTGATAAAACAGGGGTCTTCAGATGTCTGCAAATCTGCAATGGTGTGATCAACTTTTTTTCTTTTTTTTTTATGTGTTAAATACAATATTAAGTCAGCTTTGACTAAAGTTAAATAAGAAAGATTAGTTAAATGCATTATACATTAAAATGTGGCAGGAACAAAGTCAAATTAGAAAGTAATGTACAAGTATATGACTACATCTATCAAAGCAATCATCATAAACCCTGACCTTTGATGTAAAAAAAAAATAAAAATCTGATTCAGTGATAGTGAATATAGTACTACAGTACTATTTTAGGCTCATAGGATACATATGCTGCTGTACAATAAGTTCTGTACTGTATGCAATACCCCCTTTAAATAATAAAACAGAATTATTATAAAGGTTAATACATATTTCTTTACACATATAGAGTTAATAGATACTAAAAGGTCGCTAGCCACTGGTTAATACCACAGAGGGACAAAACAGGATGTTTTTCAAAACAAACACTATCTGTATCATTAGGATTTGGATCTGACCTCAAACCCTGATTAACAGGGAGTGACAAAAGCCAAAAAATAATGCATGTGATTTGAAAAACATCCTGTCCATTGTGACCAGGTTATGGGGAGAACTAAAATCATTATCTGTGGTAAGACATACACGTGCAGGCATACAGTACACACACACACTCTGCCACCCTTCCCAGTGTTCCTTCTCACCCTCAGGCCTGCGGGACTCCCTACCTTCTCTCTTAAGCTCCACTGAATCTTTGCATCCTGCACAGACATCAGGGAAGAACATGACAACAAAAAGACAAAAAGAAAGATAAACAAACGAAAATGAAGCACAATGTAAAACAAAATCAGACTTGAAAACAGTGATGATGAAGTAAACTATCAAACACAATGGAATCCATATTTTAGGGCCAATTAGCACCTGTTAATACAATAAAGACAGGCTTCCAGGCTTGACAATATAAAAAAATGCATAAGTTACACTATTCTGTATAATTTCAGCTCTAATTAAGCAATGAATAAGCCCTGTTTATTAATAATATGAGTCATAAATTGGGTTGCTAACAGATCCCTGTCACTCCAAACATCAGAGGACAAAGGTATAATTAATACAAAAAAAAAACAAAAAAAACTGATGCCACTCTTTTTCTGTCTTGGTAAAGAAAGACAAGAACATTTAGAAATGTTGTCACATTCTGGCTCAATGCTCCTGATCTATTTAAAGACACAGTGTAACTGTGAATTGTTTAAATGTGTAGAATCCACATAAGCTTGTTTTTCATCAACTAGTCAATTTACAGCAGGGCATGCAAATTCGCACACAGGCTGAATCTAAATGTAACTCTCTGCAAATTCCATCTCGGACAGTAGGTGGCTCTGATGGAACAGCAGAATTAGAGCTGTTTCCATAACCTCCGTGGACAAAGCATTGCGATAAGAACACTTCTTTATTAGGTATTACATGGAGTGAAGATGAAAACAAAATGTCACAGAATCTTTTCTGAAGACAGTCAGAACCTTCAGAGTAGGGATGTGCCGATACGAGTATCGGTACCGAACGGTTCATGGGGCAAATTCCAAACGGAAGTGATCATCCCTATCCCCTTGGAGTGGGGACTTTGGAGTGAGCAGGGCACGTGTGTGCCATTATGTAGTCGTTTGGAATGCACTTGGCAAAGCGAA